AAAATCCTACTTATAAACCGAATCACAATCCAAACTGAAATTTAATCAAACTTTTGCTATATGTGAAGAACAGAAAAAAAGACTATTGAAAACGTACAAGGAGAATAAGACGAGGTGTTCCAGAAGAGTAAGTAACTTCTGCTTCATCAATATCACCCGTCATGTAAATCTTGGTCAATTCAAGTATGTAATGTCACATTCCAAAATGAGAATGAGGTTTACTTGTAAACATTTTTAGCAGATTTTAATGAAATTTTATGTGAAAGATGAGGATTTATCAGGAGTAATGGTGTTATGTCATGATCATCAGGAGTGTAATGTGATGGCCTCTGACAGACTTCATTTCTACTGATATCTTTATGTTGTGAGTATATTGGTAGTTTAGGTAAAAGAACTATAACTTGACTTAAAACCTACAGGGACTTTATACATTGGACTTTGAAAAAGTGGACATTCAACATGATCAATCAAATGTTATTTGGAATTGATGAATTATTTGACCTGTGACCTTTAATGACCTATATGTTGACCTTTGTATAACTTTACATTGTTAGCTCGCCTGGCTCAAGGGGCCACGTGTACAAAATTTGCCAAAAAACATATTCTCCTTTTGACACACCTTTCCTGGTGTTCATAACTTGTCATAACTTTACTCTTAGATATGGGAATAAAAAGACTGTCTTTGACATTGATAACAATTAATGACAAGTTTGACATGTGACCTTTGGTGACCTATTAATTGACATTTAACATTCACCTGAAGTGTAATCATTCGTGGAATTTAATTTGGCATGTGATCTTCGATGATATATAGTTGTGGGAGTTTCTTGTTATAGCCATAGCTAAGAAAGTACCAGGAGGTGGGTGGTGGGTGTTAATGAGATATTGACATGATCAATTGAATATAAATATCTGCTGTACTCTATAAGAGAATGCATTGAAATAGTTCATAAAGTTAGTGAAAGGGTATTTCAACTGTATTCATGTAAAGAGTGTTTAGTTACCTGTCACAGGAGCATTTTCTCCCACAGGACCTGATGGGCAGTGTCAAAAAGTGGAAATTTAGAAAATACTTCTGATTCTGTAGGATTGACAGGATTTTGACCAGACGTGGTCTGAAGCAGCGTTTGATGAAGTGAACTAAATGTGGTGTAAAATGGTGTGCAAAATAGGGTAGATAGATGTAATCTTTGAAATCCATATTCTTCTAGTGCAATGAAAGTATTTGACAGAATTCTGTTTTAGAATAACATTCCTTGAGTGAAGGAGACTCAAAAGGCTGCAAAAGGGGCTGAGCCCAATATGGGAAACATAGGTATAAGTAAGAGTTGAAATAATCTTTTTCTACTTGGAGGAAGGTATTTCGTTAAACTTAATAAGAAACTTAAAACTTCCCCATATTTTAGGGGATATGTCACAATGTAAATGTTTTTAAGTAAAATCTTAAATACCTTGTGGATCAATACAGCCCTGTGGACCTCTAGTTTTGATCATCTGTCCAACAAAGATTGGCTAGAGAAAAAAAATTCACAAAAGTTTCAAGCAGTCTGGTGGTGCCTTTTGCTGTGGAGTAGGTGTCAGTTTCCATATGGTTACCATGGAAACAAATTGTCAAAATAACTGATTTTAGTATTACTGCAGTATAATTTCCAAAACTTTTTATATATATTAATAGAATGGTCTAGTAGTACTTTCTGCTGAAGAAGGAATTTTTCAGTTTTACTGTTTCTTTGATTGCCATGTAAACATTGTCAAATTCACAGATTCCAGTGTGTCTGTCCACTAGTACCTTCTACTATAGAGGAAGATTCTCAATCTTAATGGTTCTTTGGTTGCCATGTAAACAAGTGTCAAATTCACTCATTCCTGTGTATCTGTTGACTATGACTCACTATATAGGTCTCCGTTGTAAAATGTGCTTCCAAGCAAGATTGAACCACGGAGGTGAGCTATGTGTCCCCATTGGACCTCTTGTATATCAAAATGTGGAGAATTTGAAACCATAATTAGCATACTAGCTATAAAGGTAAATCAGCAAAGTCAATATTCACCTTGTTAATTATTATTTCCTGTGTGTTTCAGGTGTAGGTATTTGTCCTCAGGGTGTGGATCTCATGCCAAGATTGGGGAGCAGGTAAATATATATTCAATAGATCATCTGTGTTATACTGCTGTGTTATATATACTGCTGTGTTATAGATACTGCTGTCAGTAATTCTATACTGCTGTGTTATATATACTGCTGTGTTATAGATACTGCTGTCAGTGATTCTATACTGCTGTGTTATATATACTGCTGTCAGTGATTCTATACTGCTGTGTTATATATACTGCTGTCAGTGATTCTATACTGCTGTGTTATATATACTGCTGTCAGTGATTCTATACTGCTGTGTTATATATACTGCTGTCAGTGATTCTATACTGCTGTGTTATATATACTGCTGTGTTATAGATACTGATGTGTTATATATATTGCGGTCAGTGATTCTATACTGCTGTGTTATATATACTGCTGTGTTATATATACTGCTGTCAGTGATGCTATACTGCTGTGTTATATATACTGATGTGTTATATATACTGCTGTGTTATATATACTGCTGTGTTATATACTGATGTGTTATATATACTGCTGTCAGTGATTTTATACTGCTGTGTTATATATACTGCTGTCAGTAATTCTATACTGCTGTGTTATATATACTGCTGTCAGTAATTCTAAACTGCTGTGTTATATATACTGCTGTCAGTAATTCTATACTGCTGTGTTATATATACTGCTGTCCGTGATTCTATACTGCTGTGTTATATATACTGCTGTCAGTGATTCTATACTGCTGTGTTATATATACTGCTGTGTTATATATACTGCTGTCAGTGATTCTATACTGCTGTGTTACATATACTGCTGTCAGTGATTCTATACTGCTGTGTTATATATACTGCTGTCAGTGATTCTATACTGCTGTGTTACATATACTGCTGTGAGTGATTATATACTGCTGTGTTATATATACTGCTGTCAGTGATTCTATACTGCTGTGTTATATATACTGCTGTCAGTGATTCTATACTGCTGTGTTATATATACTGCTGTCAGTGATTCTATACTGCTGTGTTATATATACTGCTGTCAGTGATTCTATATTGCTGTGTTTTATATATACTGCTGTCAGTAATTCTATACTGCTGTGTTACACTGTAAATTCTATCAGTAATTCTATACTGCTGTGTTACACTGTAAATTCTATCAGTAATTCTATACTGCTGTGTTACACTGTAAATTCTATCAGTAATTCTATACTGCTGTGTTACACTGTAAATTCTATCAGTAATTCTGTACTGCTGTGTTACACTGTAAATTCTATCAGTAATTCTGTACTGCTGTGTTATACTGTAAATTCTATCAGTAATTCTATACTGCTGTGTTATACTGTTAATTCTGTCAGTAATTCTGTACTGCTGTGTGTTATACTTTAAATTCTATCAGTAATTCTATACTGCTGTGTTACACTGTAAATTCTATCAGTAATTCTATACTGCTGTGTTACACTGTAAATTCTATCAGTAATTCTATACTGCTGTGTTACACTGTAAATTCTATCAGTAATTCTATACTGCTGTGTTACACTGTAAATTCTATCAGTAATTCTATACTGCTGTGTTACACTGTAAATTCTATCAGTAATTCTGTACTGCTGTGTTATACTGTAAATTCTATCAGTAATTCTATACTGCTGTGTTATACTGTTAATTCTGTCAGTAATTCTGTACTGCTGTGTGTTATACTTTAAATTCTATCAGTAATTCTATACTGCTGTGTTACACTGTAAATTCTATCAGTAATTCTGTACTGCTGTGTTACACTGTAAATTCTGTCAGTAATTCTATACTGCTGTGTTATACTGTAAATTCTGTCAGTTATTCTCTGCTGTGTGTTACACTGTAAATTCTATCAGTAATTCTGTACTGCTGTGTTACACTGTAAATTCTGTCAGTAATTCTATACTGCTGTGTTATACTATAAATTCTATCAGTTATTCTCTACTGCTGTGTTATGTTGTAAGTTGATATAGGATATATAATATATTGTGTTATTACATGTAAAATATAAAATATTATTAGGTTTATGTCAGAGATATAGTAAAATAAAAAGGACATTACTATCATGTTCAGTAACAACAAATTTATTTCACAAGTGTGTCTAATATATAAGCATCTTTCATAAGTGCATAGCATGAGTGAAAGATCAAAATAAAATAAGACACGGGTGAAATATATTTATTATTACTGAAGAAAGTATTCAATATTCTATTTATTATATATATTCACAAGCAAAATGGTCAAATTGCTGCCATATTTAGGAAAGACAAAACTGACATTTCAGGGACACTATTCACTCATTTTAACCTCACAGAAGGTTACAAAATATATTTTTTAAATCAATAAAAATATGTAAACAAAAATATAAATTTCCAGTTAACTTTACTTTATATCCACTTTCTGATGTCACTAACAGGCAAATTTTGCAGTGAAACCTTCAGGGAGAGTTTAACCTGTGAAAAGTTAATATGTGGCAACATAGCTATTGCTGTTGATGACACATATCCTCTTGAAATGTCTAGCTCCACTTTCAAGATGTTTGTCAGGGATTTGGGTTTGATAACTGATATTGTTCCATTGTTTACTGATTTACATAGAAATGAAAATTTTCTATGGAATTGAAGGTCAGGTTTCTGGTGTTGTTCTGTACCAGGCATTATGATTTGTCAATTTTATAAGGTGATTTGGGTTCCCTTTCTTCATTGGTGTAAATCTGCCAAGACTGCCAAGATGTTTTAAAAATAACAAAAATGTGTTATTTTTCACCAGTCAAAATTACCCATTTATCAGCGAGATATTTCTCTGTATTTTACCGTCAAAAATGTAATGTATTGTGTTGTTACTTGTAGGATATCCATGGCTGCCCTGTATAGTTTACAGGCAGTGGGGACAGCATGAGAAGCTTGAATGACCATGACGAGATGACCGTTGGAAATCCCGTTCCTCCCTCTACAGTAGTCACACTGGACAAAGTCACCATGATGCTTGGTGGTACCGGCCCTAACAATGGGGATGAGCCTCGGCGGCCGCTCATCAAACAGGAAGCGGTGGATGTTGAGGATAATTCTTCACGATCTGGGCAATACCTTGGTATCAATGCTATTAGTGGGGAGCTCCCGAAGCAGCACAGTGACCCTGGCCTTCGAACTGCGAGGGAAGGCAGTTTTGAGGCAGAGACTTCACACTGGAGTTATTTTCAACGAAAAGAGTATGACAAATTTCGTGAGCATAAGTCGGTAATAGAACGTTACAACGTTGAGACATATTCATCGCAGTGGGAAGCAAACGTTGAACACAAGACTGTGCTTAGAATGCCTCACAACGTCAGTGCTCCCAGCTTGTTGTTGCAGACCCAGGAAGAACGGAGATATGAATATCGTAAAAAGACGTTTGAGAAAGAAACTTCACATGGGCCTCCTGTTTTTTCCCAGGCACTACACGGTGATGAGAATTTTCGCGGCCACTACTCCGACATCAGCGGGTCTGAGGACAGTCCAAGTAGTCGAGAGGCTTCTCCATATACCAAAGACTATGCCAGTCACTGTGGACAGGGTGACGCTGGCTCATATGATGAGGTCCCACGTGAAGAAAAAAGGATCATTCATCAACCAACAAGCATTGTCATAACAAGTGATGATGATTGTGTGACAACAGTTAAAAGTGATACAGATTTGTCTCCCTTGACAGAGGAGGGCAGAGCCCGCAGTAGACATTTATATCCTGGTAATTTCAAAAAGTTTTTACATGCGAGGTACTTAAAGAGCCAGAAACACAGTGGATCCTCCTCATCAACAGACACATCCCTGGATCACTCTCAGGACAAATCTGACACATCTCTCGGCACAGCCTCACCAGATATCCTGTCTTGTGAGACCAGCCTTGAGGTACCAGAATCAGCAGTGTCTCCTTCACTGTCTTTTGAGGCCAAATCACCGGAAGTGACTTCGGAAACAAGTGATGACGGAGACGTGTTCATGGGGCCTTCAGGGAAGCAGCCTTCAACCCAGAAACGCACAAAACCCTCATCACTACCTCAGAGTGGTAGTGGTGAACCTCTTGATCTCACAAACACTCCGTCTTTCCGAGGACCGATTCCTACGCCTCGAATATTTCCCCCTGACTCAGGTTTGTCTACAAGTGATCCTGATCTCATGAGCCCTTCAGCTGCCAAGCAGCAGTTCTCTCCATATGTGCACCGCTCGCCAGGGGTACCTCACTACATCTCATCTGCTCAATCCTCTCCCCTGTGTTCTGTACCTGAGGGAGGCCATGTGTTTAATTTCAACCTGCCCAGTCCTTTCGAGGGATTCTACTCCGATCCTGAACTCCTGTCGCCTAGTCCCATGTCACCTGGACTTCACTTTGCATTCCCACCTCGTGCTGCAATGGTAACATCTATGTCGGAACTCAATCGCCTTGCAGTGTCGCCACGTGCCTATTATCCTAATCAACCATTGAAAGTACCAAGCCAAAAACTATCAACTAGTCCTGTAGGGAAGATGGAAGTTAATGAATCTCAGAGTGTTGAAGGAGGACGGCGGACTCTGTCTGACTCTGATGCCTACTTGTGTCCTGTATGTACACAAGTTTTTCCATCCTATGATAATTTAGCCAAGCATATGGCCAAGCATTTGCCTACAGAGACCGTACGTCAGGGGGATAACAACAAAGTGCATTACTGTAAAGTGTGTAATCGCTGCTTCTCGCGCAGTGACATGCTTACACGACACATGAGGCTTCACACGGGGCTCAAGCCATATGAATGTACTGACTGTGGCCAGGTGTTCAGTCGTAGTGACCACTTAAACACACACAAACGTACACATACAGGAGAGAAACCATACAGATGTCCACAATGTCCCTACGCTGCCTGTCGACGAGACATGATCACAAGACACATGCGCACACATGCTAAAAGATCTGCAAAGCGAGGAAAATATCTCTCAGTACCAGAACGAGAAGGCGATGTACGGAAGAGTTCACTGTCTAGTACTGACACTACCGATTCCCAGGAGCATTCAATGAGGACTTATTCTGCCTCAAGTGTTGACAGCTTAGAACTGGATAGTGCTGGTTCTAAATTGTCTGTAAGTCGTGGGGACAGTGGTGAACGATTCTCAGTAAGTAGGGGGGACAGTGGAGAGTGGTCACCATATCCGGTGAGTCGTGGGGATAGTGGTGAACAGTTTCCCATCAGTCGTGGGGATAGTGGAGACCGCCAGCTTCCTGTTAGCCGTGGAGACAGCAGTGAGCGAGTGTTCTCTGGCTACAATGAACGGTCCTTCCCTGTAAATCCAGGTGAGGGAGGGGATAAATCATTCCCGGTAAGTCGCGGTGACAGTGGAGATCTACAGTTCCCCATCAGTCGGGGGGACAGTGGAGATTTGGATTCCAAAGGTCATCCATGGACAAATACAAGTACAGATAGCACAGTATTTGAAGATATAAGTCAGGGGCTGGAGAAAAGTCACAAGCTCAAACTGCTTCAGCTCCAACGAGAGGCTGCTACAGTTGACCCTAACTATGGCTACCGTAAGATGCGCAACTGGTCAACAGCGAGTTTTGAAAGCATAGATTCAGAGGATGGCAAGTCACGGCCCGAGTCATTTGCCGAGGATACTATATACGAGTATGAGTATACGGGTGAGATTGGGAGATATGGTGACAGTCCCTCTGCAGCCACAGAGAGGCTTCAGAAATGTAGAATAAGCACAGATACCAGTGTTGACCAGCACCACCTGGTGGTCACAGATATGGAGGGAAGTGTGGGCAGCAAAGATCAAGGGACGTAACTCTTAGAATTTTTATCTTTTTAATGCCTTTTTATTTGTACCCAGATATTGTCAACAGTAATTTTTGTTATTGTTGGTGATATTTCTTGTTATTTATGGACAATAGTTGTTGTATAATCACAGTGTTTTATATCACATTTTAAAACATGCACAATGAAAATTGATGGTATCAAATGTATGTGGATTGGACATTCCTTATGTGTAACATGTTGTCCTCTGTGCCTAAATAGTCACAAGTGAATTGGAGGTTGATCAGAAAGCCAGCCATTCTGTGTCATAACATCTTCATGCATTACATAAGATATGGGTATTCACAAAGATGAGCGTCAAAACCTGGGTCCTAAGACAATATTCCTATACTAAACAATATGTCCTATCTCCTTTATACAACATGGTTCTCATACATCAGTATTTCTACAAAAATGTAAGTATTTCAAAAATTCCTTCTTTTCCTTTTTGTCTGACAATTTTATCCAGGTGGTATCAGGATGACTGTTCCCAATATTTTAATAACGTAACTTCAACACTTTCCAATGTTACATGGTGACAGGTTTACCGACATGGTGACAGGTTTACCGATATGGTGACAGGTTAACTGACATGGTGACAGGTTTACCGATATGGTGACAGGTTAACTGACATGGTGACAGGTTTACCGATAGGTGACAGGTTTACCGACATGGTGACAGGTTTACCGATATGGTAACAGGTTAACTGACATGGTGACAGGTTTACTGATTTGGTGACAGGTTAACTGACATGGTTACAGGTTAACTGACATGGTGACAGGTTAACTGACATGGTGACAGGTTTACCGACATGGTGACAGGTTTACCAACATGGTGACAGGTTTACCGACATGGTGACAGGTTAACTGACATGGTGACAGGTTTACCGACATGGTGACAGGTTTACCGACATGGTGACAGGTTAACCGACATGGTGACAGGTTTACTGACATGGTGACAGGTTTACTGATTTGGTGACAGGTTAACTGACATGGTTACAGGTTAACTGACATGGTGACAGGTTAACTGACATGGTGACAGGTTTACCGACATGGTGACAGGTTTACCAAGATGGTTACAGGTTTACTGACATGGTGACAGGTTAACCGACATGGTGACAGGTTTACTGACATGGTGACAGGTTTACTGATTTGGTGACAGGTTAACTGACATGGTTACAGGTTAACTGACATGGTGACAGGTTAACTGACATGGTGACAGGTTTACCGACATGGTGACAGGTTTACCAAGATGGTTACAGGTTTACTGACATGGTGACAGGTTTACCAAGATGGTTACAGGTTAACTGACATGGTTACAGGTTAACTGACATGGTGACAGGTTAACTGACATGGTGACAGGTTTACCAACATGGCGACAGGTTTACCAAGATGGTTACAGGTTAACTGACATGGTTACAGGTTAACTGACATGGTGACAGATTAACCGACATTGTGACAGGTTTACCGACATGGTGACAGGTTTACCAAGATGGTTACAGGTTTACTGACATGGTGACAGGTTTACTGACATGGTGACAGGTTTACTGATTTGGTGACAGGTTAACTGACATGGTTACAGGTTAACTGACATGGTGACAGGTTTACCGACATGGTGTCAGGTTTACTGACATGGTGACAGGTTTACCGACATGGTGACAGGTTTACTTACATTTTCCATTCAATTTTCATTTTTGTAAAGCTCTACAGGAACCCTACAAACAATTTAATACATGTAATTGTTTTTTCATCATTTTTCTCAAATAAGAATTCAGGATCAAATTAATTTGTACTCTTCTCAATATAATGACATTGTTTGTCACATTTTACCAAATTTCAAGATTTCATTGTCCATATTGTCTCCCTTCCTGTGATAGGAGACAAATATTGGAATATTTTCTCCCTTCCTGTGAAAGGAGACAAATATTGGAATATTTTCTCCCTTCCTGTGAAAGGAGACAAATATTAGTACTGGTCTTTGTCTTTGTCCAAAGAAAATTTTGTTCCAGTCATAACATTCAATACACAACTCCATCACCTACTGGTTATGCAGTGCACTGAAATTAGGTCAATGTGCCTTCTCTTCAAGTTCAAAGATTAAACAAAGGCAAAATTGTCGGTGCATTCTTCTTGTCATAACTTTCGGACTGACAAAGATATTTGATGACCACCATAATTGCTCCAAACTCAGGCAACTAAATTAGGTCACTGTGAACATCAACTTCACTGAAACATTTGCAGTACATTTTTGCTGTTGAAGATATACTGATGAAATTGAAAGGTTTTCTAGTCACTAAAAGACTGTGTGCAGAGCACATGAATAAGGTCACTGTGATAATTATTATAATGTTGAAGGTCAAATAAAGGTCACAGCTTGTATTTAATTGTTTGTCACGGCCAATAGCTTTATAGCTTGTTAAGATAATGTGCTGAATCTTATGTATATATCATAAGGCAGGCATTGTTTATTTCACTGTAATTAGGTCACTGTGACCTTTTTACGTTGTGACTTTATGAAGCAAATTTGAGACAAATCTTAAAGCAATTCACCTGAATACAGGTCAAGGTCTTAAGGTTGTAGGTAAAGATTAAAGATAATTTTGTTTTTAATCTTTAACTAGTATACATTTAGTTATTCTTTTATCGAAACTTATTGACAAGTCATTTGAAGGTCATAAGATCAAAGATAAAGGACGAACTGTAAATTTTCAGACTAGTAAATATTTTGTTATGAGTTGACCAGAACAAGCTGGTGCATAATGAAATTTCAGAGAAATTTCTGTAAATCAAACTTTTGTCTCCGAACCAATTTTGTTATGTCACAAATCAAAGATCATTAAAATTAAATAGGGTGTTTCATTATCTTATATCAAGATTATGAGCCAAATATCAAAGTCAAGTTGTTCATCTTTTAATTAGTATCCTGAATATTTTGTAATGAATAGGAAATATACCCATGGCTAGCAAGGGGAGAAACCTGTATGGCTCACAAAACCAGTTTTGATTGTGATTGGCCAAAATCCTGCAGGATCCTGTTTTATCACTTAGTATCATTTTGATTTGTTACGCTTTAAAGAAAAATAGTAAGGAAAGGGCCTGATACTACAATAACCTTAGCAATAACTTTTAAAAAAATGTTGTAAATTGTGTGTGGTAATAGGCCTGATCTACATAACATTAGTAGTAATGTGTCATTTTACATATAGACATCCATTTAATTCATGAACATTTTGAACATTTCATTTCATATTTGAAATCAGTTATTTTGGTATTAATAGACAATAACTTTTTTTGTAAATTTTATCAATTTTATGAAACCCGACATGTGATTTTCCTTTTCGATAAACATTGAAACAATTGGAAAGATATTGTAATAATGATAGATGTTTGTAGTTATTTAATCCATCAGCTTTATATTTTAGTATTGTATAAAAAAAAATTTTCAAAACTGAGCTTTTTATACTCACTGCCACACTCTTAATACCTTGGTAAATATTGAATTTAGTGACCATGGTACGATTAAACAAAGATGGGAAAAAAACAGGGTAAAAAATCCCATGTGATATCACATCATTTCAAATAAATCATAAACAGGCAATGATAAAAAAATTCTTTTAATAAATTCATTGGTATGATAATTGTGTTTCTCAAGTTTTTAAATGATAATGATACATATCAATGAAAAGAAAAAAACAAATCGGGATTTATCAGATCTAATGTCTGTTAGCGCATTTAAAAATTGTCACCTGTTTATGTAAGTAGCAATTGATTTTCTTGGCTATTATTGGCTATTGAAGAATTTGATCAGGGAAGTCATGTTATAATAGTAGATAGTTAGGTCTCCCGTGAAGGAAAATGCCAACATCATAGTTCAGTCTGAGTAAAAGCCACTGGAAAGCAAAATAGTGGTTTGGGGTGCAATTTTCATGGTTGGTGCAATTCCTATCCTACCCACTGCACTGTTTTTTCAAGTTTGTCTAACTGACATTGTTACCTATGACCTGTGTAACATTTTTCAGGTCTGCTTTCACTTGATGTTTGTTTACACATAAATAACAGATATTGCACTTTGTGTTCCATTTGGACAAGTCAGATCAGTATATTTAAAAATTTTGCTGAAAAGCAAGAGAATTGTTGATGACAATAGCAGTATTACCCTCCCCCAGTTTATTAAGGATTGTACACCATTGGTAATGTAAGTAACTATCATGACAGTGGGCTTTGTTGAATCATACTGACATATTACAGATATGGACAATGATGACTCTTTCAAACCATATTTTGAAGCTATAACAAGGAAATGCTGATAGTAGTTAAAGGGAAGTAACTCTTTTTGGCCGTCGCATACAATGGATCTCCAAACATATATTGAAAATGCTACATTCATTGTTTATGTACCAGAGGGTGAAGGTTGTGCTGAGATGAGATTATCATGAAATGATTTTTAGCTGTAACAGAATAAGAATATGATACAATGCCTTTTGTTTGTGGTCTGTTTTCAATACATACTCATTGTTGGTCTTGGCCAAAACAGCTGGCATGTTCTAAACTATCTTAGCCTTTTTAGGTCTGTTTCAGAATAATGACAATCATGATTATTTGAATCCAAACAATTCAGTTTGGAAATTTTAGACTGACAATATTTTATTGCTTTAAGTTATTGTTAATATTTGATCAGAAATCACATTTCTATGTTTGTTGCAATTCAGTGGAATTAATGGTTCATTTGTCTTAGATGATGTCATGATATAACGGAGCCTTGGTGCAGTTTAGTATTTGTATTGTTGAAACATCTCATGTAGGTGATATAAAATTTCATTTTTTCATTTGAAATATTCATTTTGTTAGAGAGATTTATAACTATGTTCTAACGAGGCAATAGTTTCCTATGAAATTATTCAAATTTCCTACATTAAGATATGAGAAATGTGAGATGATATTGTTTAAGGATATGTTACCTATCTAAAGGGGGATAACTCTGAAAAGAACCTTG